GATATAGCAGTCAACATTTGACAGACTCTGATATGTACTAATCAACATTTTATCATTTGTGACAGCTGGAGTGGAATACCAATCAATATTTGGCAGGATATGATAGATGACTTGCATCCATTCATTCTTGTATGTTATTTATTTATTTTTATTTAATTTTTTTAAAAAAAAATATGCCTTGACTAGTTTTTAGGCATCGATTCCTCTCAAAGTGGTTTACAACTATTCGCAATGCAAATCCTAAATCCCAACAACAAACTAATGAAGGGTGATGCCCAATGTTAGCAATATTCAGAGTAGATAAACTGAAATAAATGGTCTCAACTTACTTAAATCCAATTTTTCTCCCAATGACATTACAGCATATAACTTGGATGAATATCACCCTAAAAATTTACTACCCATTTCCACGTGAGGTGCACCAACACAAACCTTGCAATAAAAGGAAAATGGCCCAGATAAGTTAAATAACACTAGATTTTTAGCATTTATAGTCCAGTTTAAAATGGCCAACGGGCAGGGCTTGCCTTATCAAGCTTGGAATTAGGTATATTTCATAATAGGAGGTGGCCACTCCTCGCAAAGACCTTGATTCATGTCCTTGACAACCTAATTTGTTTACAAAGGTAGGCATCACAACAGAGCCTCAGAAGTAGTTCTTAGGGTTGATACACAGGGAAACAGTCCTCTAGGTAAAACCAATGTATTTAAACTAATCAAAACACTTTTAGCTTTAATTTTTATTTCTCAGATTTCAGTTTTGGAGTTCAGATGCCAACATTTTGAAAAAAATCAAACGAATTTCAACAGATTCTGAAATTTCGTTTCATCTTTTTATCATGAGGAGCATAACCACAGGATTGATGAGCAGGTTGTGGCTCTGATAAGTTTAGATATGATCACAAAACAATCTGTTAGTTTTCTATACATAGGTTTGTTTTAGGCTGAAATATTGCCACTATGACATATGCAGCATAGAAAACGGATTCTTTAGTTACACACCTTGCAAGGGCAATTATTTGTTCTGTAGTGTAACTTGTTTCTGGATATCCCTACAGAGGACTGCTGAAATGAACTGATTGCTCTGCCATCTTTCCTCCTTATCTTTTTGGGCCATGCATCTCTGCATTATCATTACTTATTATTTATTAGTTTTGCTTGCTGATCACAAATCCCTTCGAAGAAATCAATCTGAATCATGACAACAAATAGCACAGAAGAATTCTAAATAGGAAATATATATGCTGTACATATTTATCATTGTCTGTTTTCTAGTGTTCCCTTAAGAAAACATTCCTGATAACCAGATTTTTTTTTCAATTTCTTGGCATTTGAATACAGATGTACTTATCTATCAGTCAATCATTATTCTATCCCTGATTGCTAAGCTGTTTGCCATGGAAAGTTCATTTCTAGCAGTAATTTGTAATAACTGCAACATAGTGATTAAAAAAAGAGAGAGAAACACATCATTATCTATAACTGCATCCACAAGGAAAAGCATGTCACTTTTGCTATGGAGTGTGTGTGTGTGTGTGTGTGTGTGTGTGTAAAATTTTTGCAACCCTCCCCTTATTGAAATGCTCATATCCTCAGTGATTTGTATCATCGGGGAAGGGGGGGGGGAGAAGAGAGAGTGAAAAATGAACAAGTCATGGATTTTTCTGTGCTCTAATGACTTATACTAATGTATTCCTTCATCTAAATACAGATTTCTATTTAAAATTCAGCACACAGTGGTATTATGAATTCTGGTTTAATGGATTCCAAATAATTGCCCTTTAGAAATGATGAATAGCTGTTTAAAGACACTGATAAGAATATACTATTCCTCTCTTAACAATGGGCCTTCTGCATTGACTGTGTCATATATGCCTGAAATTAGTTTATTAATTTTTGCATTGATATGCAAAGTGCTGACTGATAGCAAATAAATTCCTCTAATCTCTCCCACCCCACCCCCCAAAAGCCTCTGTTCAGTGACTTGGGGGTGGGGGTAAAGATAAGGAGATAGTGTTCAGCACTGGAATGATGCCACTGAAACGCAGATGGGTTCCATCTTCCATTTTATTTGCCTTTCTTGGATTTTTATGCTTTAAAAAGAATAGCATCTAAGGATGAATTAATGACCAGGTTTTGCAAACTTCTGCATTGAAGAAGCGCTCCCCCCCCCTTTTTTTTTTGGTAGGCAGTTCATGGTATCTCTTTTATGTCATTACAAAAAAAGAGAGAGAGAGTCTTTTTAGGCTTGTTCTCTACCATTTTAAAGCCAAGGACCCAGCATGACTGAAATTAAAAATGCATTATTCATTTATTCAATGTGATAACAGGCTGACAAAATTTTCACTTAGCAGATGAGATGGCTTCTTTGTTAACTGTATGGAAATCTTTTGGAAAAAACCACCAAACTCAAATGGATTCGGAGAGAGACTTCCATAGATTATGCAGTATGTACAGTAGGATAGAGTTTTCTAGGTGTGTGTGGGGGGGGGGAGGAAATGGTTTTCCTGTACATTGCTAAACTGCGGTTATTGTAGCCCCTTGTTTTTCAAAGGATGCAGAACCCATAACTACTAGTTTTCTCCAAAGGGTTGCTGATAGTATTAGAATGGAAGGGTGGAAAAGCTATTCTTACTATTTCCCCCTGCCAGGTCCCTTTATATTTATTTGTGGGGTTTGTGACAGATTTACCCTTTCCCCCCTGTCTTCTGCCTTTCCCTCCTCCCAATTCAAACCACCTTTCAAATGACCCTAAAAAGCGTTAAAGCAGCTCGCTCCTTCCTGCACCTTCTCTTCTTAACTCCCATCTCTTTAGCCCTTTCTCTTCTTTATAGGAACCAAGCTGCTGCTCTCCCCCCCCCCCTCGCCCGCCCCGCTCCCTTTCCTAGAGGCCTTTTCTTTCTGCCTCTAGGGTAGGCTGCCTCTCCACACACCACTGGTACCCGGGAAAGAATGGCTCTTCTGTTTGCTCAACTGCCTGCATATTGCATCCATTGCTCCATTCAGCAAGCCTTTTCAGGTCTGCTAGCTGCCGTACAACTCGGCTTTTGTGTGCTGCTGCCAGGGGGTTTCTGCATCCAGACCCTAGCTGAAAAGAGGGTAGATTTGCATAAGCAATGCCATGTGAGGAGGTCTGCTGGAAACAAATTCAGAATGCAGTCAAACAAACCTTCCCGATCAACTTGTTTCTTCTTAGCAGCCCCCTATCATTGCCATCTGTGTATTCAACTATGTGCAAGTTGGGTTTCTTTTAAAAATAAAATAAAATAAATCAAGCAATTCTATCTCAGCCTCTATGATTTGTCTCCAGCCGACTTAATAATAATAATAAAAGCCTCTAATGCATTCTATTTTGAACAGAAGGCCCAGCACGCATCAATAACTTGTAATAAATATGGGAAACTGTTTTCTTTTAGTACTTCTCTGCCACTTTTATAAGGGGGTGCAGAACTATAATCACAAAACAAACAATTACAAATGAAATACATAATCAGCCAAAAAATTATGATCAATAACTAGATAAATTATATATGTCAGGAACAGGCTAGTATGTGTCATATGCACCTATTTGCTTAGCTGTTTAGAAAAAATGTTGCATTGTCTTATAATTAAGGCTACAAACCTTATGAAGTTGCAGTTAAGCAACAAGCAAGGATGTTGCCACAAGAGCAATGGTTTATGCACCTTACACTTACAAACCCTAGTGTGCAAAACATGCAGCCATGCAAACCATTAGGCTGAAATTAGTAGTTGAAGTAGGCATAACAAATTTTCCAGAGAGACTCACCTGAGACCTGCATTGTGTTTTTTTCCCCAGTATAAGATCTCATGACTTTCCCAGGCTTTTGAATAACATTTTGGAAATTTTAATATGGTCTCTGGAAACCTTTTGAAACTTGTAAGATCAGTTCAAAGTATCAGTGTGTTCTTAAAGTCTGTGGGTTTTATGTTATCTCTTTGGCTTGAACATTTTGCTTTATCTTTTTGCTTTTAAGGTTTGTAGTACTTTTAATGTTTTGTGGCTGGTTTTATTGTTAGCTGGTCAGAGAACCTTGCTATTGGATGGCAGGTGAATGGTATGAACAAAGAACAAATGTGGTTAGCAAACAAAGGTATGGAAGGTTTTCATGGAATACATGACAATCACAAAGATTATGGTAAGGGAAATTATAGAAGCCAGAATCCCAAAAGGCAGACAAAAATTGATTGCCCAGACTTTGAAAACACATTTCATGATGGCGCTCATTCTGAAGGGTTTGTTTGGTATACTTTGTTCTCTACTGTTCAGCCCAATAAGGCTCCCAGGGCAGCTTGCATCAGAATGTTAAAAAGCTTCCAAAAAGAACCAAACAGTAATAAAAATGTGACAGCAGAGCAGACAAAACTCCAGTGGTAAATCAAATAACAATAGGCGAGTGAATGAAAAGATCTTCACCTAGTGCTGAAAAGAAAACAGATTCAATGACACACAGAAGAAGGAAATTCCAAATATGAGGCACCACAACCAAAAAGGTCCTGCCTCTAGTCACCACCCACCTTACCTCATACGCCAGAGGAACCTTGAGAAAGGCCTCTTAGGATGATTCTCAGCTAGCATAAGGCTCTTTGCACTGCAGAATCCACCTGAGCCTCCAAAGCCAAGACCAGATTTAAGAGAACCCCTGGAATGAGAACTTATTCCTTCCGAGAGTGTAATGCCATCCCAGGACAGGCTTAACAGCATCTGCTACCACAGATAAGCAGTCTGTCAATTGCACTTCTGTCTTGTCTGGATTGAGCTTCAGCGTGTTGATCCTGAAACCCCAACAGCAAACCAAGTGCAGTAGCTTTGCTGCTCATAGGCACAGGTTACTCCTTTGCTGAAAGAGCCAACAATTTGCTGCTGGATCAGGCGCAAGGTTCTTGTGTAATAATAAGAGAGTGAGAATCTATCCATTTTATGTTTTGGAATCAGGCAGCTGGCAACTCTGGTCCACATTCTAGTGCAACAGTTTTTGCTGTCATACAACACTGAAGACCATGGAGAGATACTGTTCATAAGGCACTTGGATCCAGCCATCCTGGTCAGTATCATAGCGTCTGAAGACATCTGTCCATTTCTGTATGACAACACAACACTGGATGAAGTCATCAAAAGCCACTTGTCCTCTTCTTTGTCTGTCAAACTTCTGAATGAGGAGATCGTAGAATTGGTCAGATAGTCGATAACCAAAACCTGTTAGTGCTTGCTTTAGTTCATGTTTGTCCATCATTCCTGAATTGTCTCTACCATACGTGTGAAAGACATTCTGCCAGTCAGATATGTATTTCCAGAATCCTGTGAATTCATTGAAGTTCACACCACCTTTGTTCTCCCTGTCAAACATGGATATGATAGATCTAACAGTTGCTGGACTGAATGGAGTCCATGTTCCGTTGGACAGCACTTGCTGGAGCTCCATGTCTGAGATGACGCTGCTGCGGTCCTTGTCGACCCTTTGGAAGATGCCCCACAGGAAGTTCACGTCGTCTCTCCCCATTGCCGCCATTGTCCAGGCTGGACGCGGGTGAAGGAAAGTGTCCGCTCCCTTGGGGACCTTGGGTTCCGGGTCTGCATCGCGGTGAGGAGTGAGCAGGAGCCGCTTCTTCCTCCTTCTCGGGCCGCGAGAAGGAAACACCTCAGCTCCTCCTCAGGCCGGCAAGGAGGGCCTTCAGTTGTCTTTTAAAAGTAAAATAGTTGTTTATTGCCTTGACATCTGCTGGGAGGGCATTCCACAGGGCAGGCAGCACTACCGAGAAGGCCCTCTGTCTGGTTCCCTGTAACCTCACTTCTTGCAGTGAGGGAACTGCCAGAAGGCCCTCGGCGCTGGACCTCAGTGTCCAGGCTGGATGATGGGGGTGGAGATGCTCCTTCAGGTATACAGGATCGAGGCCATTTAGGACTTTAAAGATCAGCACCAACACTTTGAATTGTGCTCGGAAACGTACTGGGAGCCAATGTTGATCTTTCAGGACCGGTGTTATATGGTCTTGGCAGCCACTCCCAGTCACCAGTCTAGCTGCCACATTCTGAATTAATTGCAGTTTCCGAGTCACCTTCAAAGGTAGCCCCACGTAGAGTGCATTGCAGTAATCCAGTAGTAGTGTTCATTCCCTAAGCCTAAACAACTTGGGCCCAAATTCCTAAGGTCTTATTCCTTATCAATACACCTTGATCACTGAGATCTTCTAAAGGGGCACTGAAGCTTAAATTGATATCCTATTGAGATGCTATTAATATTATTATTTTAGTAGTTTGTTTTTATGCTGCACGCCCCCTCTTTCTGTTCCTATGAAAGTGTGCTTTATAAATATTTGAATAAAATGTAAGTAAATAAAAGGTTTCACATGAACATCTCTTCCCATAAATCTGTCTGTATGGTAACGTTTTGAAATCTGATCCTAACATGCATAGCATTTCTCCACTCCCAAGATCCAATGGTGCAGGGCAGTGTCAGATGGATTGGCATTCCAACTGCAGTTATAATACTGTAACTAAAGGACAGTCAATAAATTAAAATATTACTACTGCTGCTGTTGCTACTACTAATGAAGAGGACCACTTATTGTTTGCGAGCATGTTCTGTGTTAGTGGGGGCTAGAAAGATGGGCTTCATATTCATTCCCTTCTAACCTTCATAGCTTGAAAGTCTATAAAATAAAGGGGAGTGAACAGAAGAGCCAATGCTTGGTGATTTCAAGATAAACCCCATCCCACTGTTAATAAGTGCAAAATGGGAGTGACTGAGTTCTAGATCTGTGCTTTAAATGAGCTCTTATCTGTCACCCTTTTGTAAATAACTTGTTTTTATAAGACTTGTTCTCCACAAAGTGAGTATCGATATAAAGGTGTCGTAATTTCCAAATGCTGTGAAAGGGGGAAAATTAAAATTCAATGATTCTTAAAGTAATCTGTTCTCTTTATGGAAAATTAAAACATGTTAAATCTGAAAAGATTGTCATATACAAAAAACAAAACGAAAACCCAACCTGTTATGCACAGATGGGTTATTTATTGTTGAATTTATTCTGACTCTAGTGGCAAAGTAGGTGTATGGTTTTTCTTTTTTCTTTTTTATCTTAAGGAAATAAATTTCTCAGAGCTTTACTCTGGCTATTTGATCCACCAGATTTATAATTTGGCAAAGCTCATTTTGCATACTAAAAATGTTTGATTAATTTTGCATTTCTGAAATACAAAGGCAAGAGTTGAGGAAGTTCAAGATTTCAGACGGTGTCTTTTCTAGATGCACACAAGAACAAAAATAACAGGACCTTACAAACACACACACACGAAGAATAATAAATGAAGCTCTCTCATTTATTTCCCAATTAAACCATCCTTTACCATGCATTAATATTACAGATATATCAGGAGTAATTACAACAGAGAACTGATTTATAAAAATCTTCACATTTCATGCTAATTATCTTAATGGAATGTTACATTTTTATGAGTTGCTTTTGTTTCTTCCTCCCACTCTTTACTTTTGTGAGCCCTAGAGCCTTTGGCAGTTAGGATATTATAAATCTTTGTTAAAACACGACAACAAGCTAAGAAACTTGCACTCAAGCAAATTGGATGATGACAAAGCTTTGCTCTGTTTACCTCACCACCTAGATGGGTTGCCATGGAATCTGACAATGGTGAGGACTGTCGTAATGCTGAAATCTGAAGTTCAATATGTGTGTGTGTGTTAGCAGGAGATATTCATAGTCAGCTAGCAATTGGCTATAATTGTCCATTGTAGTTTATCCTTTGATGGTCCATGTTTGACCTCCGTGAATATTCTCTACCCAATGCTTACATTTGGGCTGACAGCTAACTAGAGTTGTAGGTTACAGTTACCTCCTACTGTAGCAGCTGAATACTTTGCAAGACCTCTCTCCTCATACATTTTCCACAGTTCTGGAATCCAGCAAAAAAATAAAATAAATGCACAGGATATACAAACATAAGTAGGGTGGATGAGCACATGTATTTTAGACAAAACCCAGAAAGGAAATAAAATGTGAAATAGTGAAATTGGATAGTGCTGACAAGCAAACTCAAACTCCAGACAAAGAAAGGGATATGCATATATCCCAAGCCTTATGCCACACTCTAAGTGCACACACACTCCCAGTCACCAATTGATTACTGTGTGAGAAACCATAACAGATGGGTTGGCCCTTCTCTTGCTTGTACCTGCATTGCCATTATGTAGGGGATCAGATGTATATCAAGTGCACACCAAGTGGATTGACTGGATGAAGAGGAAGGGGAAGAAGGCTCAGAACCAGGGGATTGGTGGGACAATGATGAGTAGTCAGAGTGAGAAGAGGGAGCAGACTGGGAGGAGGAAGTTGTCGGAAGCTGAAGTGGCAACAGGGTTTAATGAGCAGGGAGAGGCTGTGGCAGAGAACAGCCCAGAATCAGAATCAGAGGTGGGTCAAGAGGCACAGTCGATGCAGGCTGCTGAAGAATCCAGGGAATCTTCATCTCCTGCTGTGACCAGCTCCCCTCCCTCCTAGTCGCCCAGAATAGAGAGAGAAATGAAGAGGGCAGAGAAAAGAGAAGCAAGGCAAAGGGGCCTTAGGCTGCTGGGGAAGGAACCTTAGAGAGTGGTGGGAAGGCGAGGACCTTCAGTCCTCTCAAATGCCTCATTTGGGCAAGACCTACTGCAAAGAGTTGCTGTGATCTCTAGACCTGCGCTGTTTTGGTTCCTTTGAATATTGAGTTAACTTCACTGACACCGGGTGTTTTATTGCTGACCAGCCTCTTCCTCCGGCTCCTGACACCAGGCCTCTCAACATCCCCCACCAGCCTCCTCTCACAGGCCCCACCCCATGTTCTCAAGTGCTTTTTGTGTTTTTCAACAGTGGCATTAGCTCTTGCTTACCTGGATGGAGAGAGATGTGTACATAACCTCTGACCTTTTGCATGGCTGGAATGTAGCCAATTGCGCTTAAGGCAAGAGTCACATGAGTTGCTGGTGGCAGATGGAGCAGAGGGACAGTGGGACTCACCTGATACTGCTGAATACCAGGATGAAAGGGGGCATGAAGTCCGCCATGGTTCAAACACAACAGTGGGAGCAACTGGAGGTCAAAGTGAGCCCTGTTGCCCTGCACACTTTTGCCTTGGGCCCACCACTGGCCATCAAGCTCCTGGAAGGTCCATGATGGAATGCAGCCCTTGTACTGGGAAAGGCTCTTCATCCTGTTCTGGATGTGCCAGAATACAAGCTTGCAGCCTCCCTCCTTTTTGGCCATGCTAGTCAATGCCTAAGGCTGCCAAGAGCACTACATCATAATAAAATCACATCTTAAATATAGAGAGGAGAGATAAAAACAGCTGCCAACTCACACTTGGAGCACAGAGCCACAAGACAGTAAAATGACACAGATAAATGATCGGTTCTTAAACACTACAATGGTTGTTTTAATGGCAAATGTGCATGACCGATCCCAGGTGTTCTCATTCCCCTGGTGCAGTATGGATTGGGGTTGCCTTTGGGAGGTGTACAACTGTCTGGCTGTGTTTTGCCGTTGTTCATCTCTGGGTGTGCATCACCATTCACATGTGTACCTAGATGCACACCTGTTCTGTGTGTGTATTTTCTAATCCAGCAAAGGGCTGGCATCTGGAGCAGGTGGTTTCTTCCTGAACACCTTCATTTCTAGACTATAGTGAAGGCAATAAGGTTTATTCTCTCTGAAGCCATTCCTCCCAAACTGATGCACTGTCTCTAAATGATGTGATTTTACTATGGCAGCACAGCTGCAGGACTTTCTCTCTTTCAAGTTCTCCACTGGAAAAAAAATGGCATCATAATACGCACAATGTGCCTCTATAAGTTTAAAAAATGCACATATAAGCACAGCTGTATGATTGATAGTCTAGTTTAAGCTTCTCGTTTTTTCTATAATCTGGCACTAGATGTACACATAACCCAATAGAAATGAGATATACATTTTTTTTTTAAGTGTGCCTCAGAGCTAAGATCTTTAAGAGAGCTTTAAACAGACCAGTCCTCATGGGTATATCTGGTCAGCTACCATCAGCCTATTGATTCAAAGCAGTAACACTTTTTAAAATTACTTAATTTATCTTTATTTATTGCCACATTGATAGTATTCAAATGACACCAGATAATGTGTGGTACAAGGTACCTTTTAAAGCTTCTTAGCAGGATCCTATTGGGACTGGCATATAATTGAAAACATTTAACAGAATATTTCAGGGAAGGATGCCAAGGAATGAACAAGAGAATCACATTTCAGTTTAAAATACCAGACACACACACAAAAATCATTTCAAACAATCAGGGCTGTAGCTTGGAGAAAAAGCTGGCTGGTGTAATTTACATAGACTCTTTATTTTTTATAACCTAAAATTATTTTCTTTCTTTGTTGCATTTGACATCTTACTAATGTCTCTTCTGAACTGTCTGACGTTCCCTTTAATTAAGTAGCAAGACACAACAGGCAGTGCACTGGGGAAAGGATTACATCATCATGTGCTGAG